TAGAATGTTTTAATTGGCTTTATGAAGCAGCAAATACTTTAATGTTTCTCGAAGTTAAGTGAAGTAAAGGTTCTAACATTCTGACCTCATTCTATACTACCAATTTTATTTATTATTGCAACATTATGTCACGCCTCGCATTTGCTAATACAAAGTATTTTAACATATTAATTCTCGCATTGCAATACCTAGTAAGTTTTTCCTATTTTCTTATTGACTAGCTGAGTTATTAGGAAGAGATAAGGACCCTCAGATATGGTTTCCATTTCATGATTAGGCGGATTATGAAATATGTAAGAACGTAAGAGCCCCTCAAGGTGCTCATGTTGTCAGAATGCGCACTTCGGTGGTAGGATTAAGTGGTAAATCCCATTTAGAGCATACACTTGACAATGGCCTCTTGAAAACATGAAATCCCAGGAATAAAATCAAAGAGGCTTTAACAGTCCATTCCTATTTCCACTAACTAATGTTATTTACATCCAAGTTTTCCCTTATTTCGATACAGATTTATATGTAGGAAGAAGTAACTCTCTGTCAATGTCTATTAATGAGCCTAATCTGGCAAATTGACCTTACAATATGTTGAACGTGACTTGAAATTTATTATGTTCACAAAATCAGTTTTATTGGTGGATATCAGTTAATATCTGTGGGGTCATTGGTCCAAGGGAGGGTACCCAAACAGTAGCCTGTCAAGAATGTGTAATTAGCAGGTAAATAAACACGGTTTCCCTTTTAGCAGTTAGAGTAACTAATCATGTGTCATGATAAGTAAGTTCGATGGATAATTATAACAAACGTACAACACTCAATTGTAGCTTTCTCCCACTATCATAAGAGGGGAAGGTTATGTGAAAAAAACGATGTTTATGCAAATACAAAACAAATAAATAGTCCACTTTGCAAATTGACCATCGAAATTCGATTCTAATCACTAGAAGGAGCCATTCAAGGTTACCGTTCAATGAATATTCCAATTGAATATATAATTAAATAAAATTTTCCTCGAGAAAATCAAGGTTTGTAATATATTTCACACAATTTTTATTTAGATTATTTTTTTATTGTAGCATGTTATATCATAACTAGGTTCTTTAAAGAAACATAGTAACTAGGATCAATTCAGAAAATACATGCAGGTAACAAAGCATTTTCAGTATTGTTCGTGTTCTTTCTCGCGAAACTTATTTGATTTCTTCATTAAAATAACGCGAAATCTCTCAACAAATGCTAACTTTGTGCAGTTGTGGTGTTAAAACAAACTCTTAACGTAAGGAACTTTGGTTTTATAGCACGCAGTATTTTGAGGTGCGGAAAATATTCATCCGTTACACCAACTTTCATTGTGGTTAAGACTGCCTTTCATATTTATTCCGGAACTTTCGTTTTCATTTGTCTCTTGCAATGTAGGTTGGAAATCATTTTCGAGAGGTGTTCTGGCAATATTTTCAAATCGTTTTGCCGGGGCCATAAACGAAGTTACATTCAATCAGTCAGGCCATCTTTCGTGGCCTCCATTCATAACATTCATTAATTTAAAATTTGACATTTACTAATTCACTAAGATATTTATGGAAATATGTCCGAGGCGATTGGTATTAAAGAAGCATTCGTTGCGCATTATTTCACATCTTGACAAAATTTTATCAAGATGTCAAGAGTGAACACCGAGTAAGTAAACACCCAAAAGCCACGTGTCTATTCCAGATATAGAGTTTAGAGTCACTTTCACGACTAATTATCAAAATTCACAACCTCCGTACTTATATCTCAATTTGACGAACTTGATGATGTTATTGGGGTCAGTTAGTTTCCTTCAATTGACCCATTTCCGCATTGTAAGCAACTCTTTTGTCAAGCCAGTTTTTACCCGGTGTCAGAACTTGCTAATTATGTGCCAGTAAGGGTACTTGTATTAATAATAAAACCCCGAGTAAATCAAATACTTCATTTTTGCTAATCGAATTTGAGTAAACCAACAGGAAAATTAAAGAGGGACGGAATTACCTCTCTTTCGGATGCATTTTGCTGCCTGACCATCAGCAATGCAACGAATAAGGTGTCTTTAAGTAAGCAAAACCAACCATAATTAATTGGATTTTTCCGTAATCATAAAAACCAACACTGATCGGCCTTAGGCAGTTCTAGATCAATTTTTGGATTTCTTTGAAGTCCACTTAGGCTCGTAGATCCAACTATTATGGTTTACTTCTAA